CGAGCGGGCAAACACAAACACTAATTATCTCGTTTTCACGAGAAAACGATTCTTGTTATGCCGAGATAACAAGAAAATTAACTCGTTATCTCGAGAAAACGGCGAAGAAAGAACAGTAGCGGAAAACGACCGCTCTCGGCTTCTGTAATAGTTGTTATAATAACTAGTGTATTGTTAGAACACTACGCATCGCTGGATTTCACTCCTAACTGACCGGTGCGCAAAATGGGAAGCATCCTGGGGTGCTTTGTTGAAACATCTGGATCTGGTCTGACTGTAATTTTACATGGATTGTCATGCATTTATATGTTTTTATTTATATGTTTCTTTTATCTTATTCTGTTTATGAACGTTTTATGCTACCATGTTTGTCTTTTTTAAGTTGAATTTTTTTTGGTATTGTAGTTTAAATTATTTTTTTTGATTGCATCACGCTCCTCCATGGTGTGTGTATATGTAGGTGTGTATGTGCGTGTTCTTGGGTCGGGATGAGGCATTGGGTTTCTGTTTTATTTTGTGGGGATTGTATGTATAGGTTTGGAAACGTGGCAATAAAAAATATAAATCTAACTGACCGGTGTGATGTGCACGTTCCGGACACTTCCACCCCGTTGGAGCGCACCCCTGGGGTGGAAGTGCCCCGAACGCACAGGCAGGACTTGGCTGCTGATGCTAGTTTAGTTAGCAGTGAGGGAGTGGCGGGCAAGATACGCTCCACCACCACCATCCGAATAAATTGTGTTGGAGAAGTAATAAATCTTCTCCTTATTTGTTTTGGCTGGATCAAAAGTGATTGATTTTAAATGTACAAGATCTAAAAATGAAGTAATCCTGATGGTTTTGAGCCGTCTGGTGTGAGGATAGTCATTTCTACCCGTCAACCTCCTGACCTTTGAGCTCTGACGTATGAAGGAGAGTCGATCCACTGAGCTGATGTCCAGCAGGTCCTCGACGCCGTCAGTCAGCCCAGAGAGCGAGGAGCGCTTCAGCCAGTTACCTGGAGACACACGGATTCAAATCAACATGAACATCCAGCGCCACGGAGCAAAAGTCGCAAAGCCACAAATCAACAGCACACACCGGGTTAGGAAGAACACATGCACACAGACGAGGAGTAAATAGAGGAAGTTCAGGGCAAACAGCGAAAGCATTCACTCTTTGTTATTGGACAGATAGACACACTCAGGGTGATGAAAGAGTCACAGGCTGACAGGTGCATTCGAAAAAGGTTCTCGCTTGCAGAAGACCGTGGTTGAGTGGTATTTGCAAATACAGTTAAAATATAGAGAGCAGGCGCCAGACGGACGAGGCATCCCTGTAAAGTCAGAAAGCAGTAAGTACAAAAGTAATGAGGACAAAAAAAAAAGGTTTAAAGTGTTTCAGGCTGACTGCGTAACTGACAGAATGGGTTCATTTATTGTCATTTTAGGAAGATTGCTTTAAAAAAGAAATTATTAGAGCAAAGCCGATGCAATCTATTTTGTTCTGTCTGTGCACATCAACAATGATAATTTATAAAGTAGTTGATATTATAGTAAAGCTATTTTACTCTAAATGTGACCATAATTTTACAAACTCAACACCGTGCTGTCTTAACGGACGCTTCAAACTAGTGGTTAGACCTTAAATCCATGAGGAAAAAGTTTACTAAGGTAACATATAAAGAGAGATAAAAGTAATTTCCTCGTAGACNCTCGCAGGAAAGTGGTGATTTCCAACAGCAGCTGGCAGGCGGACATCTTCAGAGCAAAGGGGCAGCCGCATTTTGTGGGGTTGACTGTGTCTGAGGAGGAAGAGGTTTTAAAAGCAATGAGGTTGTTCTGTAAACTTAAAGGTTATATGAATAAGAGACACTTTTTTTTTTTTTTTAACTACAGAGAACAAATAAAAGGCCACAGTCCTGCATGTTGTAGATGTTTCCCCTCTTCCATCACACCTGATTCAAATGATCAGCTCATCATCAAGCTCTGCTGAAGCCTGATAACGATCCTGATCATTTGAATCAGGTGTGTTGGAGGGAAACATCTACAACATGCAGAACTGTGGCCCTCCAGGACCAGGATTGGACACCCCTGTTCTACGAGTTTACTATTATTTGACTCACTGTCGTCTAAATAATCCTCTTCCTCGTCTTCCTTCCTCATCCTCCGTTTGGTCTCCTCGTCGTAAATGTAGCCCAGGATGTTGGCGGGGCTCTCGCTGTCTGAGTGGCAGAGTTCGCTGAGCCTCGTGCCGATCGCCTGAGTGGGTTCAAAACCATTACAAGCTGCTAACGAAGCCTCATGACAAGCGTCATCATAAATAAATGTTTGACTCACGTCTCCCCACTGGCAGAAGTGTTTGGCGGCGTTCCACTGGAGCTTCTGGTTCCTCTTGTTGCCCACGATGGGCGATCGGCCTCTGGACAGGCCTTTCTTGGTGATGTTTACGTGGTGGCCCTTCATCCACTCGGGCCAGTTGCCGCGGTTGCAGCGGTGGACGAATCGGGCGCATTCGAGGAAGAGGGAAGCCCGGGCCACGACCGGAGCCTCCTGAAAGACGAAGCAGAGACACTACATGAAGCTTTTATGTTGCTGCGTTGGCATGTTTATGGTAATTGTAAAGTGAAATGTACCAAATCCAGAGCAGCAGCGAGGATGGAGGCGTCAGGGATGGTTCCCGGCTCGCAGCAGTTCAGGAGGAACTGGAAGCGTTTCATGCCCTGTCGGATGGCGCCCAGATTCACCACGTTCTTGTTCTTCATGGCCTCCTGACTGGCGGCCAGGCGCTCCTGAAAGCCATGAGGTCCTGGAGGACGAGATGGAGAAGAGGAAAGAAGAAGAAGAGAAGGAAGAAGAAGAGTGACAGAAACAGTGAAGGGGATTTTTTTGAAAGGGGAAAAAAAAAAGCATTTGTTATGTCATCGTTGGCAAAGCAGAGGCCGCACTGAAGCAACATCACCATCCAGGACATTTAACGAACAGAAGAGCCACCGACAAATGAAGCTGAGTGAGAGATGACACACAGCCATGGGCAGAGGTTACACTTGAGTTTTCAATTTACCGTCTCGTCTCACAAGACAAAAAAAACGATCGAAGAGATTTTGATGCATGAGGGTGTTTTCCGCACGTTCTGGATCACGTGACCTTCAATAATGGCGTCTAATAAATCACATTGAAATGACAAGTGTAACCGTAGCCGCACATCAGGAAAGCTGTATGTGGACTAATCCGTTTTATCACTTCACTGAGACTCAGGCACTGAAAAATACCACCAGACGTCACCACAGAAGAGACGGAGAGAGCACCGACATGCTTGACGTAGCACAGAAATACGCTCTACAGCAGAAAGATGGTTTCGTAGATGTGAGTTATCGTCAGACACCGCCTGCTGTCTCCCTCTCTCTCTTTTCGCTGGGAAAAGAGAGAGAGAGGAGGAGGAGTGGGTTCGATGTTGAAAAGAACAGGACGTGCATAGTGGGAGAAGAGAGAGAGAGATGTGGGTAAGACACAAGACAAAAGGACAATTTTGACTCGTTAAATCAGAGGGCTTCTGAAAAAAGATGGTTCTCTTTAAAAGGGACGATGCAAGTGTTGCCTTTGGAAGAGAAGCTATTTACCACCTGAGT